TTGGAGTACACAGTGCTTACGGCAGAGGTGGAGAATTTTAAAGTCTTGACAACACCACTATCCTTCAGAGCTTGAGTCACTCCAGATGTCAGCACACCTGAGTGACCCATGAATCACTCTTAGGGGGTTGGTGTATCTATTAGACACTCTTAAGTAATAGTTGGAGCACAAGAAGTAATACTTAAGTGACTCACGATTATCCAGAAAAAAAACGGATTATCCATAGTAATTTTAACGAGTGCTGAGAAGTCTTAGTACTTCTGGGAAGAAGAAAGTCTGACCTCATAGCCACAAGCAGCAGGTGTGGGGAGTGTCGACCTACTTAGCAGAGAATTCAGCTCCACCGAAGGACCCAATGAAATCCTGCACGGTATTGGAGGCTGTAACGTCTGGAAGACTACTTGTACTCAAAGTCAAGGATTGCCACTCAGGGTGTCTCAAAATAGAAGTATCATCAGCAGACTCATTAAAGTAGAATAATGCATCCTAAAGCTGATATGGGGTTGGGGGCACCAAGATGACTTGCTGGGTAAAGGCACCTGGTGCCAAGTCTGATGACTTGAGTTTGATTCCTAGGACCCATGTGGTAGAAGGTGAGAACCAACTCCAGTGAGTTGTCTCTCCTCTTCATACAGGCATCACAGCTCATACATGGGTGCATGCATGTGCCTACGCACACACACCACACACACACAGGCACAAAAGTAACATACTAAACTACAAAAATGAGATTTTTGTGTTTCAATTGGTAAATTGAGGAAAATGGGGAGTTTGATATTTTTTAGTATAGTTCAATTGCCCATGGTTAGTATTTTACATGTATGGGTGTTGTACCTGCATGTATATATGTGACCCATGTGTGTGCCTGGTGCCCTCTGAAGCCAGAAGAGGATGTCAGAATTCTTGAGACTGGGATTACAGACAGTTGTAAACTGCTTTGTGAGTCTGAGAGTCAAATCTGAGTCCTCTGGAAAAGTAGCCAGTGCCCTTAACTGCTGAACCATCTCTCCAGTCCCTGGGTAAAATTTAAAAATGAAAATCCATATGGAGAGACATTGAAACACTTGATAGGGAGCTCCTGGAAAAAAGGTCAGACCCACTGCAGTGCTGGCCTTAAGCCTTCAATCCCCCATGGCCCAGCATTCTTTGCTACCTTGATTCCTCCAACTGAGTTGGCTTTACCCCAGGACTGCCCATCTCCAGCAGATCCACACAAATCTCCATTCTGTTCTGGGTCTTCTAGTGGTGGGGAAGCAAGGTGACACCTTCTGGGAAGGCTGCTGTTGAGTAGCAAGGAACAGAACACACCAACAGGATCCATCCTGAGCCTTCATGCAGCCCTAAGCAGAAACCCTTGTCCCTCCAGCTCTATCCATACTCTCCCTGCCAGTTCTCACATGGGCTCTACTTGTCCTCACCTTTCTCATCAAAATCCACATGTGCACTGGGCAGTGGTGGCGCATCCCTTTAATCTCAGCACTCTGGAGGCAGAGACAAGTGGATCTCTGAATTTGAGGCCAGCCTGGTCTACAAAGCTCCAGGACAGCCAGGGCTACATGGAAACCCTGTCTCAAAAAATAAAAACGAACAAAACAAAAATCCACATGTGCAAGTGTTGTCTGTCTCCTATTGTAACTAAGGAAGACCTAAAATTCAGTGTGTATGTGTGTGTGTGCCTAGTGTAGCAAGAGAGAAAGTGCCTATTAAAGCATCAGATATCTTTTAACACAGGTGGTAGTTGAATACTACTTGGAGACTGGTTGTTATTGGAAAAGAAGAGCTAGCCACCCCGTTTCTGGATATATATCCCAAGAATGTGAAGTCAGTATGTTGAAAAGATATTTGTGCACCTGTATTCATGACAGCCCTGTTCACAATAGCCACGGTAGAGAATCAAACTGAGTGTCCATCAGTGACTGAGTAGATAAGAGGTATCCGGTATATATATCCAACATAATCCTACTAGACCTTGAAAAGGCAAATTTGTCATAATATAAGCAACATCCTGGGTATTGTGTTAAATAAACAAGGCACAGGGCTGAGCGGTGGTGGTGCAGGTGGATCTCTGTGAGTTCGAGTCTAGCCTAGTCTACAGACAAGTTCCAGGACAGCCAAGGCTACGCAGAAAACCATGTCTCAAGGGGGGTGGTGGGGTGGGGATAAGGCACAGAAACAAAAGGAATGTGTGCTCTTATATGAACTCAAGCCATTAAACTCAAGCAAAGCAGCAAATGGAGATGGGCTGTTTCCATCAAGAGCACAGAGACTGGCATCCTAATTTCAACACCAACTTGCAGTGGCCATGGAAGAGTAGAAAAAAAAGAAAAAAAGTCTTCCTGCAAGCCTCTGTGAGCTGGTAGAGAACATGACATTCAGGAAACTTATCAGTGGAGGAAACCCCAGAGTAGCTGCTTCTATGTAAAGTCGGGGTGGACCCAGAATCAAGGCTGTGGGAGAAGTATCTGGGGGCCCAGAGATGTGAGTTAATAGTAGGACGACTCAGACTCACCACAGGAGTGAGAACAGAGGTCAGGCCTTTGTCAAGCAAGGGCAAGGACTGAGGGAGCACCTCCACAGCCGCACCCCAACCCCACCACGTACACCAGCCTTGCTATCAGCTTCGTAATGTCCATAGGCAGGCAAGACCAAGTGGATAGAAAGAATGAAGACGTGTGAGGAAGTTCAGTTCCGGTTAGCTGAATTAAAACCATCTTGCTGGGCTTCCTCTTCACCTTGCTCGCACCCTGGAACTCTGAGGGAGAACAACAGCTTTGGAGTCTGACAAACCTAGTTCCAGATGAGGAACTCTCATGACTTCAAAGCCAATTGAAACTTTACATTCCCCGGGATCAGGTAGAGAAGGAATTCAGTGCAGCGAGGAAAGCCTGGGACCTGGGGCCTCTTGTCACCCTCCATTAGTTGCTGCTCCGCAGTTGGCCACACACACAGGAGGGAGAGTCATTTCTGGTCAACCACAAGGTCTATAAAGAAAAGGTAGGTGCTGCCTGAGGTGTGGAACTCAAGCCAAAGAGTGAGCAAACTGGGTGGGGAGGCGGCAGGCAGCTTCCTCCTCACGGCTCTCAGAAATGACAAAGTTGATTGGAAATGCTTTTTTCTTCCTTATAAACCCCCCTTGTTTTAGGTGTGTCTCCGAAAGATTCTCTTCTCAGGATGGCCGCCAAGTTTTCAAAAGCATCCTTGGAAACCATTCAAATTTGGGTATTTCTTTTTTCCATACTAAAGTTGCATATGCTTGAGACTAACAGGCATCCCCATTATACTCCTCATTTTCACCTCTCAGCTCAACATGAGATTTTGAATATTCTAAAAAGCCAGAGGTGTTTCTTCCTTTTTTAAAGTAAGAAGTTGACAGTTATCTTTGAAATGTTAAAAGTAAGTGAAAATCTGAGAAGAGTCATTGTCCCTGGGGCTGAGCTTGGAGTTTATGTTAATACCCTGTACTATTTTAATTTGCTTCAGTCAATTTTTGTGAGCATTTAAAAAGCAGGCAGAATCCCAACATAGGACTCAATTATTCCCCTGAAACTTATGACCCCAGGAAAAAAAATCTGCAAATGTGAGAATTGTGTGTGTGTGTGTGTGTGTGTGTGTGTGTGTGTGTGTGTGTGTGTGTGTGTATAAAAGCCCCCAAGATAGCCAATTCCCCCAACCCTTAGCTGATACTTGCCTTGTAGCTTTCTCCTGTGATAAGGAACAAGCTGTGCTAAGAACCAAAAGCCCCTTTCTGGTTCCACGATGGAGTGAGGAGAACTCCCAGGAGAACGATGGCAGCCTGTCCTAGTGGGTCAGAAGGCGAAGGCAACCCTCCCCTAAGCAATCTACGTTCAGGAACAACACTAGAGCTGGTGCCCAGGAAAGAGGTGGGGCAGCCACTGTTGGAGCAAGGTGTGTATTCTCTAGAAGTGATATTAGAAGGAAAAAGAACAACTTAGCTGGCAGAAAGGTAAGTACTGGCCTAATGTGACCTACAGTCCGACAGACCAGAAACCTGAACTAGTTTCTGTGGGTGAACTAACTGATGTTTTTTTCACCCTATAAAAAGCATTGGCTGCTGGTCAAGATGTCCCTTGCCTATTGGTTTTTTGCACTGAACCATTTGGGGCCCAAGTCTAAACTGCTTCTCTGGCCTGCAACAAACAGAGCCCCAAGGTTAAGTGTACCATGGGACAGACTCCATCAACAGGAGATGTCTGACTTGTCTGTTTCCAGAAGGGAGTTCCTGCAGGCTGGCCCACCTTCCAACACTTCACATTTCTTCTTAGGTCAGAGTCAGCTGCTGCCCTGTGCCCACCCATATGGAGAGCCCCTCCCACACATGTTCCTTGCACTCTTTTGGCTGGAAGGACATTGCATGCTTCTCAGTCTTTTACTCTTAGGTTCTGATCTGACCATATGCAATGCAGTCAGTTTTCCTATCTTAGTTTACCTCTTCTGGGCAGAGCCTTAATCTTCCAGCCATCTCTGGAATGACAGCCTGACCTAGGGCCAGGTGGCCCGGTGCTTTCAAGTCTCAGTACAACCAAGGCATTGGAGAGGCCTGTACCCCCCTCAGCTGCCCAGAGATGCTCAGGAATCACAAGGATGCCACGGGCCCACAGTGTCTGCCCTGCTCTTCTTTTGCTGTGTGGGTTCAGGCCGTTTGTCTCTCAGACCTCTACAGCTGGGAGGAAAGAGAAGTCGGAGAGCTAACAGTCAACACCAGCCACCATCACCACCGCAGCGCCCAGGAAAGCTGGGAGAGAAGATTCCTGAGCTGGGTCTGGAAGAAGGAGCAGGAGTCCACCCACTATCCCTCATAGGCCGGCCCTTTTATCCTCAAGACCAGGGCCTGGCACTTGCTGAGATGCCCATACAATATTGTTAAAGGCCCCTGGTGCTTGCTTTGCCCCCCAGGAAGCTGTCTTCCACTCACTCCCGAGGCTTCATAGACTGTTCCTAACAGAAAAAGGGACCCTAAGTGTCCAGCCATCTGTCTACCCAACCAAAAGACACCAGGCCTCCCTTTTTCATTTGGCCCATATAACTCCTCCTCTGTTCAGGAAGTCCACCATGACCTGACCTACCATACCAAACCACTGCTCTACCCAACCCTATCTACTCCATCTCTGCACAGCCTTCTCTCCTTCCTCCCCCAACAGACTAGACAACACCTTTCGTGGGCCTTTGGTATGGTACGGCATAGTGTGGCAGTCACCTCTTTGCACAGCAGTCTCTGGGGCCAGGCACAGTATTTTTCATGTCCTTGTGGTTTGGCTGACATCCCAGTGAAGGGCCTATGTCTAAGGGATGGGTGACCTAGCCTCCTGCAACTGTGACACATTCCCTTACTCTTCCAGTCAGATTCTCCCCGACGTCATGCCTTCCTCAGGCAGCACTCTTATCTACACACCTTGCCAATTGCCCACCAGGGGCTAGCTGTGGCCCCCACATAACCTCACAGTGGCATAAGTACCCAGCTTGGTACAGATGACTTCTGGATCATGTCGTCAGGCAGCTCTGTGTCCACTTCACATATGGACAACAAACTAGAGACATTTAATGACAGCAAGTTCAAGATAACATGACTGATAAACATGAGAGAAAGAATTTAAACCTAAGCCGTTTGGCTCTCCCCAAGGCTTTGCCTTTGGTTTTATGGCCCCTTTCCCAGCCATATTCACAAGAAAGCAGGAAGATCTGCATTTGATGGAGTTATTGCTGACTCTAAAAGTTAACGTTCAACCCTGGACAGTGGCTTTTCCTTGCACGAGAGCTTCCTTCTCTAACCAGCTCTCAGGGCTGCACATTTCCAAATCCCTGCAACAAGTCATCTAATCCTCCTGACTTCTTGAAGAGCTGGTTTATTATCCTGTTGGGAGGAGACTTCTAGGGCTGGGATGCCTTGCCTGTGGGGGAACGCCTCTCTCTGTCACTATAAATGTCTTCAGAGGCCAAAGAGAGGCCTCCTGTGTCATCGCTCCCTCCCTAGCTGTGAGACTCCAGCTACTTCACGATGAGACTTCTAGCCCTTTCCAGTCTGCTCTGCGTGCTGCTCCTCTGCTTCTCCATTCTCTCCTCAGAAGGTAAGGCTGTCCTCTAGTCCCTGAGTAGTGATTCCATGGTCTGGCAAGGTTTCAAACAGGAGCTAATGGGGAGCAGGTCCCGGCAGACAGTCCTGAACACTGGAAAGAACTATGCAGCTGCTCTATGCACCACAGTGCCCAACAGGTGGGGAGCTTGGGGGCTTCAGGCTTTATATCTTCTACGTGCAGTCCTGTGTTCCTAAACATGCTGAGGGCATACTGTATAAACTAAGGGTTTGGCACGAGATGTATAAATTAAGGGTTTTGACACCAGATGTATAATCTGAGGGATTTGGTATCAGATGTATAAAGAGAGGACATGACCACTCCAAGGTATGGTTGAAAGGAAAGTTTTTTTATAGTAGATATAAGGTAAGTACAGCCAGAAGCAAAGAGAGGAAGTAGAAAACTGAACATGACCAGCAGAATGGACTCGGTCGTGAGAGGAGAGATGGGAGAGTGAGACAGGAAGATAAAAAGAGTTCCCAAGGAAGGAAACCAAGAGAGAGGAGGCCAAGAGAGGAAGACAGAGGAGAGTGCCTGGCTGAAATGGCAAGGTTACATGGAAATAAGAAGCTGGGGAGGGAAGCCCGTGAGCTGGAGGAGTTTAGGGTTGGGGGCAGGGTAAGAAGAGCTGAGAGGAGCTACTAGTAGTTCTACTGAGAGAGCCTGGGGAGGCTGCATGTGCTTTGGTATGCGAATGGGCACCATGGACAGCCAGTTGTCTGAAAAGTAATAAGGAAATGGCTCCTTCGGTTGAGGAAACCCGTGCAATGGAATTCGGGGGAGTGGAGTTTTCTTTGTTACCTGACACGTATATGAAGCTGCATGCTCACCCTGCAAACACAAATCCTCTCTGAGAGCTACTCCCCTGAGACTTGACTGGGGAGTCAGGGAGTCGCTGTTGCCACTTGTGTTGGGGAAAAAGTAAGTGAATAACTGATCATTTGGACTTGAGTATCTCAAATCCTTATGAAAGGAAAGCTCCATGGGCAGGTGAAATGGGGTTATGCATGATAAGGGGATATGTGTGTGGGATGCTGCTGTGTGTTCAGATGTGGGGAACGTACATGATCTTTTTGTCCCTATAGAGACGAATATTTATATCTCCTGCGTTTAAGATTCATTTTATTTATATGTCTATGTGTGGATATGCCACATGTGTGCAGATGCCCTCAAGGGCCAGAAAAGGGTGCTGGATTCCCTGGTGTTGGAGTTACAGGTGGTTGTGAGTCATTTGAGTTCTTGGAACCAAGATTGGGTCCTCTAGAAGAGTGGTAAGAGCTCATAAAGCCTGAGTCACCTCCCCATCTCCTTACTATCTTTCTTCATTTTAAAAGCTGAGTGCCTCCAGCACTCAGGAGGCAGAGGCAGACAGATCTCAGTGAGTTCCAGGCCAGCCTGGTCTTCTATAAAACAAGTTCTAGGACAGCCAGGAGAAACCCTGTCTTGAAAAACAAACAAACAAAAACCAAAAAAAGCTGAATATTGGAGCCTTTTTCTCTTACTTAGCCTCCAATTAATTTTTTGTATCAATAGTTATGATGATTTTAACACTTAGTAGACATAAAAGGTTTTAAAAAAAGAACACCCCTCACCATACTTTATCACGCAAAATACTGATGGTTGACCTTAGTCCTCCTGTACAGCATCATGTCTGAGTAGTAGGGCTACAGGAAGCCCTTTGTTCTGATGGAAGCCCTACCTCAATCCCCTCCCCCATCTCTCCCCAAACCCTGCCTGACCTCAGAAGCCCACCAACATGACTCCTCCCCCAGAGATGCTCAAGACCACTCCCACAGGGTATTTAAACTGCCTCCCAGAAAACAGACATGTGGTTTTTCTGTCTCTCTTCCCAGTCTCCTCTGGGGGGGGGGGGATAATCTAGGAGTGCTTTACCCAGTAAGCCTGGGCTTTTTCTTAATTTGGTTTGATTTGGCCTGATTTGGATTGCTGCCTTATAGAAGAGGCTTATGGGGTGCAGAAACTTATCATACTTGTTTTTGGTTAGTTAGTTGGTTGTTTGGTTGGTTTCATTGCTCAAGTTTCTGTGGTGAAAAGGTCAGCACAGCCCACAGCATGACATTTATCAGACCACTATTTTTGGATTATTTCAAGGTCACCAATACAATTCTAATGGAAAATCAATGAGAATGAATGTCTTTGACTGTAAACCTTCCCCCCATTCAGGACTCTGCCTGGGAGCTTCAGGCTATGGCATTACTCAAAAGACATGTGTTGCCAACCTATGAGTGGTCATCCATGAAGTCATGTGCTTGGACACACTATATTAAGCATACAGTCACAAAAGCTTTGTGTATACAAAATGTTTCCTGTATTGTTTTCTTAGACTACAGATCTGGATTATCAAGTCAGAATTCATGTCTCAGTGCAAAGACATTTCTCCTCAGTGCTATGCTTTTCTAAGCAGCATTATGAAGAGGAAACATCCACAGGGCACAGTGACCTCCAACATTGTCTTTATCTCTGGAAAGTCACACAACATAGGCTACTTCTTCCCCAGCCCTCAGCCCACCTCATCCTATTTGTTTGTTTGTCTGTTTGTTTGTTTTGGGCAGTGGTTGTTTGTTTTTAATAACTGTTTGTTTGTTTTGCTTTGTTTTATTTTTCAACACAGGGTTTCTCTAGAAAGCCTAGGCTATTTTTGCTCTGTAAACCAGTGTGGCCTCGAACTCAGGGATCTGCCAGCCTCTGCCTCCCCAGTGCTGAGACTAAAGGAGTGTGCTACTACTGTCCAGCTTTTAACAAATATTCTTGACCTCTGGGTCTTCTCAGTAGAAGCCCTCCCAGTCATATCCCGGTACAGATTGGCCTGATGGTGGCCCTGGCCCACTAATTGGAGAATCTGTACCCTTTTACTTCTCAGGGAAAAGGCATCCTGCCAAGATTTCAAAATCTTGCTGTAACCTGGTTCCTAGATCCAGACTGACAACCCAGAAAGGTAAGTAACCTCATCCTGTCTGGGCTGGGAGTGGGAAGATTTCTAGGGTGGCCATGGGACAGGCCAGATTTGTGATCTGCTCCAGCCAGTATCTTGTGACAAGCTCTAGTACAGATGACCCACAGTCAATCTCAGTCACAGAGGTTAGAGTTCTCTGAAGAGGCAATGACTTAGCCTTTAAAACTGAACATGTTCTGTCAAGAAAAAACTCTTAAGAATGGAATAGGGCTCAGGCATGGTAGCACATAGCAATCCCAGAATTAGAGAAGCTAACAAAACATGATGATGAATCTTGAGACCAGCAAGGGCTTACACAATGAATTCAAGGCTCGGGGGCCTGGGATATGGCTCAGTCAGTGGAAAAATGCTTGCTTAGAAAGCTTGGGGTCCTGTGTTCGATCCCTATTGCAAGAAAAAGAGAAGAGAGGAGAGATGTGGGGAAGCACCCATCCCTGGATGGGAGGCCTCATGAGAAAGATTAGGAACCCGACTACAGATGATAGAGAATGGGAAACTGGTACAGAGGAAACAGCAGGCATGAAGGTGTGGTGTGGGCAAGCAGGAGACACAGACAGGGGAGCTATAGGATGGGAGGTGCCCATTGGATCTGCAAACCATAGCCCACCTGGAGACCTGAAGCAGGACCTGCGTGAAGGCCTCCAGCCAGTGTGTGGAGTATGTGGGTACAGAGAACTCCAGGAGACAAGACAGCGCCAGAGATGTAGACAGGTTCACAGAGGCTCAGTTTGACACCAGCATGACCATGAGGCCTGAAAGAGCCAAGCTGCCTCCTCCCAGACCTGGGGCACCTGACAATAGGTAGTGACAAAGATAGGCCCAGGTCCAGATCTCAAAGCACACAAATCCCACCAATGGGACTCCAGGCCAGCAGCAGGCCAAAGCTCTGAGCTGCTGGCCCAGGGTGGGGGTTAGGATGGCTGGAACTTTGCGACTTTTGTACAGAGAGTCCCGGAGCTTAGAGCAGGCAGAGACCTGTGGGAAGTCAGGCTGCAGAACTCAGAGCAGACCTGGCCTGACCTGAACTTAGGGCCTGTGTCTCAGCTCTCCATAGCCCCAGCGCTAATTCTTGGGAGCCCAAGGCTCCAGCTCCCCGTGTTGCTACAAGTTGCGGCACCTGAAGCCCACGACCAGCTACCAGGGGTGCTGTCTTCCAAGGGCTTCCTGTCTTCCTGTGAATGAAGAGGGGGACAGAATTAGGAAGACAGGATAGCTCCAACCTTGGTACCCCTGAGAGGTTGACAGCCCCTCCTCCACACCGCCATCACACCCAGTCAGGGCTGGGTAAAAATAACCACTTCTCTCACACATTCCTTGTGAATAACCAAGTGTGAGGCACCCGCCTAGGCAAGGTGGAGGGTGAGCACTGGCTGCCAGCAGCTCTGCTTCCCATAGGAGCTTGTGAAATAAGGTGCAAATGTAGGGGAGAGAAATGCCAGCTCCCCACTAAGGATGGCTTGCTGGAACTTGTCCTCACCTCTAGCCCCTCCCTGCACAGATGCACAGAGGCAGGAAAGAGAAACTGGGGGAAGGAAGGCACACACACACTACACATACGCATATACCCACACAATCATACAGACACAAATGCAAGTACATGCATGCAAACACCTGCACACCACATAATTACACACTACACACACAAACCTACACACACCATACCACATCACACACATACATACATACACATATTATATATCACACATCTAGAGTCACAGACACACAAATACATGTGAATATACCACTTACTATATATATATATATATATATATATAGCCACAAATACTATACACATATAGACATACAAATACATGGATACACACACACATATATACACAACTATATACAGATATGTACACCACATGCCCACAAACATACCTACATGTCACATACAGACTTAGGCACATAAATGCACATACAGACTATGTACAGAGAGGCATGTATAAACACATTCACCACACTCTACACACAGCTCCTAGAAATGTGGAACATGGCCAGGTACACTCCTTGTGTCCAATACAATAACAGCCTTTTTTGAGTGCACAATTCTATGGGAGAATGAGCTAAGTCAGGGATCTTATATTGAGACTGGATTTCCATTTGAGCATATATTTCAAAAATTCCATGGCAGAATTCATGAACAACTTAGAACAAGAAGACTTAATTAGGCATCTTTACTGGACTTTAAAGGCACATAGTTGCCTTTAAAGCCCCAGACCTACCCCAGGGAGTTCTTGTCACAATTACACAAATTGGGGAACTGAGGCTCAGAAGGACCCAAAAGCAGAGCTAAACACCAGTATCTGTATGTCTCTTGCACTAGAACAAACAACCTGGTCTCTGGAGGGAAGTTTTCTGCAGAATGTGAGCATGAAAACTCCTGGAAGGGAAGTGCCCTGGAGGGCGGGGTGGTCCCAGCTCCACCACCTGCTGGCTCTGTGCTCCTGAGCAGGCTCCTCCTCCTCTGTAGAAAGTATGTGGCTGCAGGATCAAGCTTGCTAGTATTGAGAAGTCAGTAAGGTATGTTCACAGAGCACACAGCATCAGGTCAAGCCCATAAACACCCTATAAACCTGTCTTGCTGTCACAATGGAGGAGGCTGGGCTTCCAGGGCAGCTGCACCCACCCCAGAGCCCATGTGTAATGTGTATATTTGTGGATGGAGTTACATGGCACATAGATGTTGTGTATGCTGTATTTGTATACGTATCTATGTGTGTGTGTGTGTGTGTGTGTGTGTGTGTGTGTGTGTGTGTGTACCTCTCCTTCCAGCTTCTCCTTTCAGTCCTGACTCTTCACTGCTGCTGATTACCCAACACCTAACACAGAGAACATGTTTGCCCAAGCTTGGTGCTTCCACCCAGAGTCTCCTGGAACAGACCCTAAGATCCAGAGAGAAGAAAAGAGAAGATGAATCAGGGTGTTGGGCAATCAACACAGGATTTCAGGGTGCTTTGTGTTCCCATAATCTAGTCTCCTGTACCTGCTTCACAGGCACGAGAGCAGGGCCTCCACTTTCCACGAGAAAGGAAACTGATGCCCTCTGAGACAATAGAGGCACTCAGAGTGGCTGCAGCTCATGCCAAACCTTTCCTGAGCTCTGCTTTGGGTCTACCTGCTGGGCTAGGCCCACAGAATGACCCAATGTGGAAGGCATGGGATTCCGGGTGGAAGTGCCAAAAACGTCTTTGAAAGTTAACAGGATAAATGACTAGCAGTCTGGCTGAAGTGAATGCACTTACCAGTTTACTAGAAGGAGATGGGACAGAGTTTTCTTAAAGCAGGCTTACAAACTGTAGAGTGAGCTATATAGCAACGCTGTCCAGGCAGCACCTTTGAAAGGAACATTCAATACACTGACACAGACAATGGTCTGAGCCAGACTCGTAGCTTCTTAGATCCCACCAGATCAAAGTCAGGAGCGAGGAGCCTTTGTGAAGCCATCTTCTGTCCATGTGTCACGAGGTCACCAGGGGAAGCTCCTGCGAGGCCATGTGGACCCGAGACAAGCCTGGGTCCTGAGGATTAGTGCCACACTCCCTGTTTCAAAGCTCAACAAAATGAGTTAATCCACAGGGGCAGGCTCAGGGTAGAAGTCTGCAGGACCACCTCCCTCCCCCGACACACACACCACCACTGCCCACCATGTAGCTGTCTGTCTTTAAAAAGGGACTTAACTACAGTGGTAAAGGTCACCCATTGGGGAAGAAGGGTCTATTGGTGAAATTAATGTGTAAGAGTGAGTTTTAATTGTGTTTTGCTCCTTCTCTTCACCCTATTCTATCCTCTTCACTTTGTCTTCCCATGCCCCTCCTTCTTCTCTGCTGTCACTCATCCCCAGGAAACCACCTGAGGCACTGCAAACCATGCAAAAGCAAGCCACCATTCAAGTCATGGGTGGTGCCTGGCGCTCTCCCACAGGTATAGAGCTCCTGAAGCCCGGCTCCACCCAGATGAGACCTTCATGCCCAGCTGTGGAGACACCAGAAGCCTTGACTTGCCCCCTGCCAACTTTCATGGTGGCAGTGAGCTGTGATAGTGAGCTGGGAGACTTTACTTCAGACATCCAGGAACATTCCAAAATTCCTAGACCTGGTTCCAACGGTGCCACCAACCTTCAGAGTCACTGTGAAGCCCACATGTCTTCATGGCTCCACGAGAGTGAAAGTCAAAGATTCCTCCTGTGGGAGCTACAATGCCAGAGATTTCCAAGCTGGCCAGAGTGCAGAATAGCAAGACCTCAGTGCGATCAGCCAGGACTACAGTACCACGGGCAGCCACAGACAGCCTCAAATTCCTAGCCTTTAACCAATGGTCTCTGAACCGACTCCTGTAACTTCCTAATTACGTCACCAGGAGAGCACCCAAAATAATAAATAATAAATTGGCTATACATGGAACATCGTTGTCTGAGAAAATAATGTGGCCTGAAGTACAGTGTTATGCTAAAAGGAAAGTGTCTGGAAAAACTTGGTGTCTACTCCATCACAGGACAATCCGACCGTAAGAAAGAGACAGTAGTTAGGTGTTTGGGTCCCACACACCAGGACACAGAGCCTAGTCTTGCCCAGGTTTCTCTGTAGGCTTGACAGTTCAATTTTCTGTAAAACAGAAATGACTGGAAGGATCTACTTAGGAGCAAGCAGACAGCGATAGGGTCCCTGCAAAGTACTAAGCTTAGAAAGGCCCAGCAATCCACCCACCCTGGAGCAGTGTTTATCTCCACAGTGAGCAAAGAGCTCAGAGGAGACAGGTGGCTCAGGTCTAAGAGGCTTGTCTCAGTAAAGCTCCCTCTAATCGGATCCTCCCAGCAAGGTGAGAAGCCCCCTTTCCTGTATTACTCCCAGGCCTGAGTGAGAACACCAGGGCCATCAGGTGTGAGGCTGATAGGCAGGACTTCCCTGAGGACAGCATGCCCAGGCAAACCAGAGCTTGTGGCTTGTCAAGGGCCAACGTTCCACCTCCCTTTCATAACTGTTCACTCACTCACTCCTCCGCTTACCATTCCCAGGGAGAACAGTGGTCAGACTTTGCCCTGGGTCCCAAGGTTCAAATAACATGGTCCTCTGACACCTGAGAGGCTGCCATTGCTGCGTAAGCACAAGGTGAAGAGCAGAAGG